CTTATTGCATCTGTAAACCTTTTTTGGCACAGAACTGAAATCATATGCATTGACTCTGTATTTAGGTACTATTTACTAATAAGTACTTAGGTACTGTACTAATAAGTAGAAATACTATTTCTGTTCATTTTTGGATTGCCCAAACTCAGGAAGTTGGTCAGGTGTTCGTAAACAGATACTAACTTTATCCAGAAGAATGTACCTTTCATTTTCCTGAAAGCTAGAGTAATAATAACCAGTATATAATAAGAAAAAAACCACTATAGCTTGGATGCCTATTTTGTGCTGGCTGCCTTATACGTATTGCTCTTAATTCAAATAGGTGGTATGTTGCCTTTTTATAAATGAGAAAACTAAGGCTTGGGTTTTTTTTTTATAACTTTTCTCTTTAAAAATTCTTTTATTTTTAATTATGGGTACATAATAGTTGTATATCTTTATGGGTACACGTGATGTTTTGATACAGGCATACAATATTAATTAATCAAATCAGGGTAATTGGGATATCCATCACCTCAGGCATTTCACTTTATGTTCATGTTAGGAACATTCCAATTCCACTCTTATTTTAAAGTATACCCTAACTTGTTGATTATAGTCACTTTGTTGTGCTATCAAGTATTATTTATTCTAAATATATTTTTGCACTCATTAATCATCCCCACTTTATCCTGTCTCCCACCCACCCCAGCCTCTGGTAACCGTCATTCTACTATCTCGTGAGATCGTTTTTAATATTTTGCTCCCATATATGAGTGAGAATATATGAGATTTGTCTTTCTGTCCTTGGCTTATTTCACTTAACATGTTCTCTAGTTCCATCCATGTTGTTGCAAATGGCAGGATTTCATCCTTTTTTGTGGCTATATAATATTCCATTGTGTATACGTGCCACAATTTATCAATTCCTCTGTTGATGGACACTTAGGTTGATTCCATATCCTGGCTATTGTGAATAGTGCTGCAACAAACACGGGAGTGCAGATACCTTTTGGATATACTGAATTCCCATCCTTTGGATATACACCCAGCAGTGGGATTGCTGGGTCACCTGGTAGTTTTATGTTTTCAGATTTCTGAGGAATCTCTCCATACTGTTTTCCATAGTGGTTACACTCATTAACGTTCTCACCAACAGTGTACTAGGTTCTCCCTTCTCCACATCCTTGCCAGCATTCATTATTGGGCTTAGGCATTTTTAGAATAACTTTTCCTAAGGTCACACTGCTAGTAAGTAGGAAAGCCAGGATTAAAACCCATGGACTCCAAAGGCCATGCTCAACATATTACACTAAGGATGAGACTAGCAGTGGTGTTATTTGGCAAGATGCCCACTGGGGACTAGTGGGAAGAGCAAATAACACCAGCACTCTGGCATGACCAAAGGGGTAGGCAGGGTCAGGACTCCAGGTTTGCCAGTGAACTTCCTAGAGGCCAGACTCAGAAGCTCTTGCCTGACAGAATACACAGAAGGAAGGAAGTATAACCTGACAAAAAATAGCTTTTAAATTCAGGAATCTCCAGCCAGATGAGGTCCACAGGGGGGAAAAAAAGGATAAATGTCAAGAATCTTTGGTAAAGTTCACATGGATCTTCTGGTATGTACTAGTTCATCACTTTGAGCAGAGTAGGAGGAGAGTGAGATGAAAACATAAAGGGATCATACCACCTAAAAGACTTTGACATTCTAAAATCTCATGGTAATGGCTGGACTGTATGCAGACTATGAGGAGACTAGCTTACTCTGACATCACTCTGGGTGGAAAAATATGCATAGAATCACAAAATCAAAATATTTATTTTGTTCTTTTGCACATGACACTGTTAAAACATTCCTACTACAGCAATACTGCTCTCCAGGAACTTACAATCTAAAATAGTCAACATTAATTGTAGACCCAGTGATTAAGGCATTACATCAAACACAGTCTTTGTATCTTTAGATGTATCTTCTGAAGAAGCAGCTGGAGAGGGCAGGTTCAAAATTAAATGACATGAAAGTGTACCCCCTGCCCCTTCCTCCCAGCTCCTTATAAGGAACCCCTTGTGACTAGAACTCAAGACTAGTACCCATAGTCTGAAAGGGAATTCCAGACAACCCTACCACAGAAGTAGTGAAGAAACCTTAATTTCCAATCCCCTGGTGGACACACTGAGGATTCCCTATTTGTGGCCAATGGGGCAGCTGAGTGTTCCCCATCATAGACTGGAGACAGCACCTAAGATTCTACAACTCTGAGGAGGGTACTAGGTTTCCCTTTACCCAGCCTTATACAAGTTCCAGCGGGACCACTGCTTTTTTTTTTTTTTTCTTTTTGAGAAAGAGTCTCACTCTGTTGTCCTGTGTAGAGTGCAGTGGCGTCATCACAGCTCACGGCAACCTCAAACTCCTGGGCTCAAGTGATCCTCCTACCTCAGCCTCCCAAGTGCTGGGACTACAGGCACACACCACCATGCCTGGCTAATTTTTTCTATTTTTGGTAGAGGCCAATTTTTTGGTAGAGACGGGGTCTCACTCTTGCCCAGGCTGGTCTCAAACTCCTGACCTCAAGCGATCCTTCCACCTCAGCCTCCCAGAGTGCTAGGATTATAGGCATGAGCCACCATACCCAGCTGGGGCAATTGCTTCTTGAAGCGTGCTTAAGGTCTCCAATAGGTTTATAAATACCAACTTTGGGTTGGTATTTATATCCATAGCATACCAATGTCCACTGCATCAGGACTGCTAGGGAGATTTCATAAACTAGACATATGAGATAAAAGACTGAAAGACAGAAACGGACAGCAGAGTAAGAGGCTAAGAGATGGGGATACAGTTTTCCAACAGATGTGAACAAGGAAGGAGGAAATGAGAAATTTGAATTGAAAAGGAACAAATAAGTCAGGCATTAAATATCAAATGAACAGGGAAACAAATGAAAGTCAATGATATGGTGATATTATCATAATCCAAGAGCTCAAGTATGATGGAATTTAAGCTTTAACTTTTTTCTCTTTCACTGGCTTCATCTTTAGCAATCTAGTCCAAGAATCCCTGAAATTCAGGTTTTTCAGGAAATTATCTCTATGCTGAATACCTAAAGACCAATCTCAAACTGATATTTCTGAGTTTCAAATTTATGGCACTTTGTCTTATCTGGCCTTGATTTTATCTTACTGATAAGGTCCTGTTCCTGGAAGGGTACTCTATAGCAGTTCATGCTGAGATTGCTAGAGAGCATCAGAGTCACTACTAAACATTGATTCTTATTTTAATTTTTTTTTTTTTTTTGAGACAGAGTCTTGCTTTGTTGTCCAGGCTAGAGTGAGTGCCGTGGCATCAGTCTAGCTCACAGCAACCTCAAACTCCTGGGCTCAAGCGATCCTACTGCCTCAGCCTCCCGAGTAGCTGGGACTACAGGCATGTGCCACCATGCCCGGCTAATTTTATATATATATCAGTTGGCCAATTAATTTCTTTCTATTTATAGTAGAGACGGGGTCTTGCTCTTGCTCAGGCTGGTTTTGAACTCCTGACCTTAAGCAATCCGCCCGCCTCGGCCTCCCAGAGAGCTAGGATTACAGGCGTGAGCCACCGCGCCCGGCCAACATTGATTCTTATTTATGTCTCATGGTTTTATTATTCCTTGGTTTCTGAGACAACAGGCTATGTTTAAAAAAAATTGTGGAGATGAAGTCTCAGTATGTTGCCCAGGCTAGTCTCAAACTCCTGGCCTCTTGCTTTGGCCTCCTAAAGTGCTGGGATTACAGACATGAGCCACTGTGCCTGGCAAACAATAGGCTATTTATACCTTAACATTGGACTCTGTCAGTACCTGTCATTCACTCTGCTCATGCTAAGTATCATTGCAAGGGGATGAAATGAGACAAAAGCACAAAGCTCTAAATGTTGGTTCATGGATTTAACCTCTACCAGTAGGCTCTGATGTCCTGTGTAGAGTGCAGTGGCGTCATCACAGCTCACGGCAACCTCAAACTCCTGGGCTCAAGTGATCCTCCTACCTCTTGGTTCAAAGCCATACAAGTACACATTCCTTGCTCTCCAATATTTAACTGGCACCCATAGAGAAAGTACAAACTTCAACAGGATAGTACTGTTTTGTGTCCTCTGCCCTGAGGCACAATTAGATCTAGCACCAAGGAGGGCAGGATTTAACAGACCAGCAAAGGAAGACTCCCTTTACAGAGGTAGTTTGGACTGCCATGTAGACTAACAACTGAACAGAATAAAAATCCAATGTGATTCTTCATTGAGAAATGAGGTTTTGGCCACTTGTGATCTAATTAAGCCCCCCAGAGTAACAAAGATGGTCACGTGGAGGATGAAGGTCTGCCTGGGATGGGCATATATGTGAGGAAAATCTGGCCATCAGCAAACCACACCCTCAGTCTCTCCAAAGAGAAAGCTGGACTTTTGCCCTTCTGGACCATGACTGGTGGATTTACACTGCAGATCAAAGGTCTCTCTCAACATTCAAACTACTTCTAAGAAACCACAGGTCTTTAAAAATAAGGACTAGTGATTTCATATAGGCTAGTGAAAATACTCTGGCTATAGCCCTTTGTGCATGTGCATGTGGGCACACATATACACAGCTGGAGCTGAATAAATGTGGAATGATTAAGTATTGAGTAGCAGCATTTACTAAGTGAGTTAAGCCCAGACATACCACCCACCAGCCAGCAATTCAAACGCCCATGCCCAATATCAAGTAACCCACCAGGTGATGCTTTCTTAGTTTAATGCACACATTCTCAAAGTGTGGTCCCCTGACCATCAGCAGGAGCATCACCTGGGAACTTAGAAACACCAGTTTTGGCACTCTGGGGTTGAGGCCCAGCAACTAGTGTTTTAACAAGTCCTCCAAGTGATTGTGATACATGCTAAAATTTGAAAATCACTGGCATAGAGGCAGACATGTGAAAACAATAATGAGAAAAAAATAATTCAAACTCTTTTGCTTCATTCAGCTGGGACAAACCAAGGTACCAAGTCAAAGTAAAATGCCAATGGTTTTATTTTAAAATATCTATTTTCTCAAATTGATTGTCTTTTTTTTTTTTGACTGGCAAGTTCATTCTAATCAAAATGTTAAGTGAGAACACAAGCTGATGAGTTAGCCATTCAAGAATACACACTCTGCAAGCCCTAGGCCTGTATTTAGTCTCAAACCACTCTTCTGCACACTACAAAGATTTCGGTGCAACACATCACACCTAGAGAAAGGCACAATGTATCTCCCACTCATTAAGTCCAAGGACAGAACCTTATTTTCTAATGTTAAGTTTGAGTTCTGGGTTTAGTTGGGCAAGAATTTCCCTCAGCTGCCATTAATCCTGGCTGAAATTAATCCCTTTCCATCACTCACACAGGGAAAAAACCCACCAAATTCACTTACAGTCTGTTTAAAAAAATTCAGAAGATTAAAAAGGAAGCAGATGATCAAGTCATTGAATAGAAAGCTACCTAGATTAGACAAGAACATATAACTTAGATCTAGAATGATGGAGGAGGAAAAGACATCTCATGGGTGGCTTCTCCTCAAGAGATATGGGAATCTCAGCTTATTAGAAAAAAGTTTGGGAGGTTACCACTTTAGCTCAGAGACTGTAAACTAAACTTCTGTTGAGCAGGGGCATGTGTATGTGTGTGTGTATAAAGAGACAGGAGCAAAAAGGGATGATTGGACCAGGAATCACATCTTCCAGTCTCGAACTGCTTCCCACTGTAATCGGTAAGGCCACGCCATGGAGTTAGACATTAATGGCAATGCTCTGTGATGTCCACTACCACTGCCTTCTTCCAGCTGAAGAGAAAGTATCCTGTACCAGCCCCTGCTGCTACAGCAATGCAGAGGTACCCGTTGTATGTCATGAAGATGAGCATAAGGAAGTAGCTGATGACCACCTGGATGATATGCAGCACTGTTTGCAGGAGGTGGGGAAAGCTCAGCATCTGTTGCCTGGAGAGTAAACAGGGACACAACAATTAGGGACTCCAAGGAGCTCTGCAGATCAGGAGAGAGGGGATATAGCTATAGCCACAAGCTCAGCTGGAACTGAACTGTCTCAAAACTCATGGGTACTTGTGCATTTGTATATTGTCTATTGGTCCCTGGAAATGAAACAGCATGGGGCTGTCAGGTTTATAAGCACTGGCCAGATAGGGTTATATGCTAGTAGGAGGAACCCTCTTCCAGAGGAGGAGAAAGGGATGAGGAGTAATCCCAACTTATTACCTTCTTAGATCCTGAAAGGGAAGCCCTAAACTCTCCCACTCACTTGCCTGAACATTTACAGGCTTTCTACCTTTGCAAAGTTCACATTCTATGAAAATGGGAATAGAATCAAGGGTTGGGTGGTGTAGTATAAATGACTTAATTAGGGACCAGGAGACCAGGCTACTCATCTCCAGATAGGTCACAACTTTTTGAAGCCTCAACAGGCTCATCAGTACAATGGGAATAAATAATACTGTTTGCTTGAAAGCAGAATGTTGGTCTATAGCATTTCTTAGGTTCCTAGTTTTGAGACCTACATTTTAATTAAAACTGAATCTCAAAGACTTTTGCCTACCAATGGGAAAAACCAATAATCATCTAAATACTTTCTTAGAACACAGAAATCTGTATAGTCTTACACTGTAAACAAAATAAGGATAGAACTGGCTAGGTAGAACTCTTTATAGAAAGAAATCCATTGCACTTTGCCATTCTTTTATACCTTGACCTGACTTTCTTAACTTGTTTCTTACAATTTTGGCAAATATTTTAAAATACAGATGCCTCAGTTACCTTCTTCCAAAGTGACCGACACTCCCAACTCAGACTATTCACATTTGCAGAAGAGTTCCTATCACTCCTCCTTTGGCCTGCTCATGACCCACAACCCCAAACCTCCAAAGACAGTTTTGATCAAGGTCGTAAAGAATCACTAACTCAGGAAGAAGGCTGCTGCTAATAAAATAGCTGCTTTGGTGCTTAATTAATAATCTAACTCTCTAGAACTTCATCTGAATCTGTTAAATCTTCTTACCCAACAGTTTTGTGGGTCTCCATAAGGATGGTTCCATTTGGTCCTGGGACAGGCATGGAATTGTACCGAATGCTGACTTGTGACTTACGCAGCAAGCTCTCTCGGGCTATCTTGAGTCCTTCATAGAACATTGCTAGTAAAAACACTGCCACAAAAGCTCCAGCCATTTCTAAGTGAGGAAGGAAAAGATGATGTGCTGTCAAATGTGCAAAATCATTAGCCAGTGTACTGTCCAGCTAGAAAGACACATAGAAAAAATGGTACTCTCAGTTTCTGAAGACATTATATTGTTACCTCTTCACTTGCCCAGGTAGGAGAAGAACAGCTAAGATAGTGAAAACCATTGCCGAGCTGAAGAACATATTTACTTTCTGATAAAGATAAGAAAAATCATCTGAACAACAATAACATTTTGGTCTGACAGCTTGACGTCATTAAATTAGCTTTGTTACATTGAAACAATGTAGAATATGGAAAAGGGGGAATAAGAACAACATAGTTTTAAAAGTGCTGACTACATTTCTTGAATAGGTATTTCATTTCTAAGTCTTTCACACTGTGAAGGATTGGTAATACTTGACATAAATTCAAATCACAAATTTAACACACTACCTGAACTAAACGCTCTCCTTCTTCCCAAACTAACTTTGTGGATCTAAAGATACACCTAGTACCTAAAGCAGTCCAGCTGACTATTGAGCTTGGGCAATTGGAATTTAATGTATACCAATACAAGATAATAGACACAAAGAGATGGATGATCAGGTGCCCTAAAATGAGGAGTCACTCTAAGATGGCCATGCCAAGAATCGGGAAGGAAGTGGGCCATAGTTTGGTAGACCAAAAGAACACTGTTCCAGGCAGCTCTAGAAAGGTCTGGGTTCCTGTCCTGTCTCTGGTAGACTAATTCTTTGTGACTTAGGGCAAGCCATTTCACTATTTGAGGCTTAATTTATCTGTAAAATAGAAGGATTGTACTAGATCAAAAGTTTTTAACCGAGGGTTATTTTGTGGCATTTGAACTTGACTGTGGTCTTTTGTCTAGGACCTATAACTTACTGAACAAGGAAAACATTCTGGAAAAGGATGAAAGGAAATGGATTGCAAAATACTTCTATCTGATATCTAAATTATTTTTCAGAGCGCCAAAACATACACATTATTTAAGAGAGGTTTACCAGAGGACAAAAAAATGTATTATGCATTCTACCTTCTGGGTAGGAAGTAGGAACCAAGAAGGTTATGTATCATGACCATATTGATTCAGTACCTAGGATGGAAAGAGGTGCTGGGTTTCTAAATCCTTTGTCACTGTCTCTCATGTGACTGTCACCTTCAAACACAACACCTGATAGTTTACTCACCTCCAGCTGTATTGATCACCAAACCGGAAAACAAGAGTTCCACATTTTTAAAGCCAAAGTAGAAGGTCATAGGCTGCCAGAAAACCAAAAGTCAGTTAGAAATGAATGAAAATCCTAAATAAGAATTTCATGCAAAGAAGCTTAGAACATCATTTAAAAGTAGTAGGTCTGGATAATAAGTTAAGAAGAGACATTCACCGAGGCCTTCATCCTCACTCTAGCATCACTTACCACAGGTACCAAGCATGAGTACTCTCCTTCAACTTTGGTCTTTTTCTCTTTTCCACACAAAGCATAAAGACCAAAACTTAATTCAGAAAAGAGTCAATTTTAAGAGAAGGGACTACAGAAGGAAAAACCCTAGAACCCTGATTCTGGGTTCTGTAAATAACTTGCCATATGATCTTGGGCAAATCATTTGACTTGTTTTGGATCTGCTTTAGTTTTCCTCATTGGTAAACTGATTTTTGAAGACAATAACCTTCTAGTACTAAAATTCCATATTCCATTCATTCTTTTATTTTTTAGAGATAGGGTCTGGCTCTGTCACCCAGGCTAGAGTGCAGTGGCATGATTACAGCTCATTGCAACCTTGAAATCCTGGGTTCAAGTGATCTTTCCACCTCAGCCTCCTGAGTAGCTAGGCCTACAGGTATGTACCACCACACCAAGCTAAGTTTTAAATTTTTTTGTAGAGATGGGGTCTTGCTATGTTGCCTAGGCTGGTCTTAAACTCCTGGCCTCAAGCCATCCTCTCAATTCAGTTTCCCACATTGCTGGGATTATAGGCATGAGCTACTGTACCTGGCCTAAAACTCCAGTATTTCTATTACCCAAGGTAGTCAGAAAGGGCCTGCGTTGCTGCTTCTTTGGCACTCACCATCATCATCATCATGTCGCTGTCTCCTCCACCATGGGAGTGTGAGGATGAAGTTGTCGGGTGATGGTGAGAATGATTCATTTTTCCAGGCAAAGTTGAGGATCAGTAGAAGATTCTTTTAAGAAAAAAAATTATATATAATAATTAAGGGTATAAAAATCTTATGTCTCAGTAAATACTTTGTCTATATGGAATTCATCCAATAAATGAATGCTCTCCTAGCACCTTTACTCGGAACTAGTTTTCATAATCCATGGATGGAGAGATAAGTAATTTGTGCTAATATGGATCACTTCTGGAGATTGTAGTAGAAAAGATTTGCACCTAGAGCTTCAGACACCTAACCAATCCTTGTTCTGCAGAATTGTTCCTTTAATAAACATGCTAAATATATGTTCAACTTTATATATGTGAGATAGGGAGAAGAAAAGCAGCTTCTTTGGTTGTAGGAAACAGAAAGTTTGTAATAATGTATAAATGGATGCCACTAATGAAATTTAACTGCTTTAAGGCTTTCTAATCATAAATATCAGTAGATAAAAAACAAGTAGTTCAGACAATTCATCTAATTGGGATGGCCTGTGCTTAACCAGGATATTAAGATTACATTTTCACATATAGGACAACCAGCTTTCAGCTAATTTAAATTTGAAGAAAGGTCTATCACCGCCCTAGGCAAGTAGTGTGCTCAGACTCTGGATACAATTTTAGTCCTATCAGGACATTAGAGTGAAGAAGAACATGAAAAACAAGGTATAAATTTAATATTCTATATTAAATTAAGTCTAGACAAGTGCATATTCAGCCTTGTATCTTTACAACCACATCACTGCTTTACTGCAAAAAGTCAATTTGGGATGTAAACCAAGTAGCAATAACTCCTATAGCTGGAGGTGGGGTGACAGACTAGGAAAGTTGGGGTGTGTGTGGAGGGGGGAGGTGTTGGTGGATTCTCTTTATGAGTCACTCAAATCCAGTTTGTGGAAGAAAGAGTGGCATTAGAAATTCCAAGTAAGTGTTCATGTTCATGAGCCTGAGTATGCTTCTCATGATTCATTCAATCAATAAATATTTATCAAGCTCCTATTATGTGCCAAACTCCAAAGCAAGTGCTAGTAATTCAACAGTGACTAAGACAAACAAGGTATCTGATAGGGAGAGAAACAATAGAGCAAACAGAACAATTTCATGCTGTGACAGAAATAAACAGAGTAATGTGACAGAATTACTAAGAGGTAAAAAAGAAATAGATTTTAGATAGGAAATTTATATAGATTCAGAGAGCCATGTGTGTCTAATTCAAAAACACCAACACTGATCCATCTATTTTCCTGTCAACTCCCACTCCATGATTCTATGACAGTAGACTTAAGAAATAGGTTCTTATTTCTAGTGAAGGATAAGGCAAAGCATCAGCTACATATAATCAAAGTTTCACTTTGAATTTAAACAACTTTCATGCCAGATATTATATTATATTATAATTACAGAGCTTGACAATCTGGTATTATTATTATTTTTCTTTTTTTATCTAGAGAGACAATCTGGTATTATTAATACCACTGTCAAAAAGGGACTAAATTAGAGGTACAAAGAGATATATAACAGGGTCTTTGTCTACAAAGTTTTAATAGTAAACACTAAAAAACAGAATACACAAAAATGGAGCATGCAAAAACTATCAATGATGCGACAAATGGTAGAAGGTAGTACGGAGACACCACTTGTATCTGAATGATCATTAATTATGATTCTGAACCAAGCAAATGAAATAAAATGAAAAGACTTTTGTCAACCAGGGAGACTGATAGCATAAGAAAACCCTAAAGGATCATTTCATTCCATATTATCAACATGAATCCTGGGGCAGTGAATATTTGCAAGAATGCTTTCTGTTGTAGGAGACTAAGGGGAGATATAGAAATTAATAAGACATAGAGTTTTTCCTTTAAGGAGCTTCAAAGCTAAAAACTAGCAAGGGAAATGGAACAGTTATCATTTTCATTTTGCAATGTCAGATAACATGTAAAGGACTGTTAAAAAAGCAAGAACACGGTACCACAAAGTAATTAAGAGTTGTTACCCTTAATTTCCTTGATGAACTTTTACATTATTACCATTAACAATTTTGGAAGATTCAAAGGTTCCTAATTTTTCAGCCCCCTCATTACCAGACAAACATCATCAAATCTCTTCCAACTTAATCTGTTACCCAGGAATTCATGTGTTCAAATCTCAAGAAAACCTTTCAAAGTATGCACCTGTTTTGAAGTGTCCTCTGTGCAGGATACATTTCACATTCAAATATACTAGGAAATAGAGCAGAAATAGATTCTACTTGCTTTCATTGTCAGTGGACAATGCATTTTTTGTAACACAATCCTATGCAAAGCTTAGCCAGTGGTCTATGAATAGGAAGGTACAAATATGATGGAAAGTAACCAAAAAAGTAGGCACAAACTCAACCCAATACTGGTTAAGTCCTTATGCTCATTAAAAGCCTTACTCTAAAAAACAAACCCATGGGGATATGCCAAACCTAAATGACATCAAAAAGGGAAAAACTTAGAAATTATTAAAGCATAATAAATAAAAGTGACTTTTTTCTCTTCCCGCTTGACTTTTCAGTGATGTGCCATATGTATTTGGATAACTCATCTTCTAAAGCAATCGAACAAAACTAACCCATTCTCTCTAGAATAGAAATTCTACTTATAGGAGATAAACTGGCATTGATAGGTTTAGCCTGTTTCCTCCAATAACTTTACTCTAAGTTACAATATTTTTTTCTAGAATAAAAATGAATAGTGAGGTAAGAATAAATGAAAATCCAGGGATACTGTAATAATGTTTGCTCTCTTGATCTGTAATGTGAAAAGGATAGTCTAACTTCATGGTAATCATGAGCTGTGCTGTTCTGTGGTTTATTCAATTTTTTTTAACTCCATAGCCAACTTTACTTGCTCTCTAAGAACTGTTTTCTCTAATTTAGCTCCATTCTCACTGTCTCTTAAATAACTGGGTTCTTAGAAACCCAGTTTGTAGTATACATTTATGGAATCGAGGTTCCTGATTTGTAAAGCAATTACAATAGAATTTATGAAAGAGTTAGTAATGAGGAGTGAAGATGGAACTTTAGCAAAATCCTTGTAAAATGGTATTTATCAAGTTACTGGGTTTCTGGTTTTAGGACAATACTATGTGCATATGTTAATTCCAGGCTAAAACTTCTGCTCTTGTTTTAAACTTCTGGTATTCACTTTTATTCTTATCATTATTCTATCATTCCATCAAGTTTACAAATTATTTATAAAGAAGAATATTGTTTTTGTCTGTTTAGTGTTATTATACCAGAATACCTGAGGCTGGGTAATTTATAAAGAAAAGAGCATGGTCCCAGCATCTGCTTAGCTTCTGGCAGAGAAGAAGAAAGGTGAGGGGCAAGTAAAAAGAGACACAGCTATGTTCACTTTGTAACAACCCGACCTCATGGGAATGCCTGAGAGTGGACATTAATTTATTCACCAGGGTGGATCCCTCATAACCCAAATGCCTCTTAAAGATCCCACCCACCAGCTTTCACCACCATTACATTATAACTGAGTGATAAAACAGAAAAACAAACAACAACAACAAAAAACCTCTTAGGATTCCTAACTTACAATCAATGATAAAATCCACCTATAATATTTTATTTGCCACATTGAGTTTATAACTATGTTAAAAGATTAGAAATTACCTGGAAAATACCCGAAGAATTTGGAAGGTGCTCTGATTTTATTACCTAGGAAAAAGTTACTTAGCCTTTCTGGAGTGGGTTTTCAGCCTATGGAGGGCTGCTGGGAGGATTAAATGAGGTAACATACATAAAGCATCTAGCCAAGTGCATAACAAATGGGAGCTATTACCATTCTGTGGAATTTTAGGGGATAAAAGACCTTGAATAGGGAAAACCCAATGAGTGAACTTTGTGAGAAAAGGCATTAATTATTAGTTTTTGTTAGCTTATCTCCTACAAAATATTCTAGCAAGACCACTTTTAAGTCCCCTTCTGCCTATCCTGACTCCTAATTGAAACCATAAAGTGGCTTATCAACACTCATGTGGACAGTTCATTAAGAGCTCCTTCTTCTAGCACAGAAAACTCGATCTTTAAGGAAATACAAGAAAAATGATCTAGAAATTGACTACTAAAAAATTAAGAACAGAGAAATATGAGGGGGCAGTCAAACTAGGAGAACCTCTTCCCATTCCCTCCTGCTGGAGGCGTGGGTCCGAGAGAGGTCATGCAGGACTTAGTCGAAGTGTTGCTATCGTGACTGCTTTTTTGATGAAGACTGACCTAGTTACCTTTGAAGAAGCCTATAGATATCTCAAGACTATCAAACCAGAGGCTAAGATGAACGAGGGGTTTGAGTGGCAACTGAAATTATACGAGGCAATGGATAATGAAGTGGATACCTCTAGTGCAATTTATAAGCAATATCGTTTACAAAAGGTTACAGAGAAGTATCCAGAATTGCAGAATTTACCACAAGAACTTTTTGCTGTTCACCCAACCACCATTTCACAAGGATTGACAGATCAGGTTGTCTACAGATGTAGAAAGTGCAGGCGATCCTTGGTTCAAAGATCTAGTATTTTGGATCATGAAGAAGGAAAAGGGATTCATGACTTTGTCCACAAGAGATTAAAGCCACATTCTGTGTATGACTTTTCATGTACATCTTATTTCATTGAGCCTGTACAGTGGATAGAATCCACTTTGTTGGGAGTGGTGGATGGACAGCTTCTTTGTCCAAAATGCAGTGACAAGTTGGGCTCCTTCAACTGGCATGGTGAACAGTGCTCTTGTGGTAGATGGATAACGCCTGCTTTTCAAATACATAAGAGTAGAGTGGATGAAATGAAAATGCTGCCAGCTTTAGGATCACAATCAGTAACAATATGAACTTGTGATATTTGATAGCCTGGGAAGAAACTTGCTGATATGTGCTACCCTTGCTTATTCATTCATGGCAGGTTTTAGGCCATCAACATTTCATATTAAAAGTGAAAAGATAAAATCATCTGATGTAACATGGAAACTGCTTTCTTAGCTTATTACATGATATAAGTAGAATACTTTACATGGCAAACAAAGCCTTTTAATCATGTTAATTTTATTGGATATTAAAATCTGTTATAAACCTGAAAATAAAAAAGAACAAGTTTATGTGGAACGTAGCTCATATAAAATAGTTAAAGAAAGAAGTTTCTTTCTCAGGGAAGCTTTATTACCATTCAGTTTCTAGGAAACACTTATCTTCAGTTAGGTAGCTCAAATTGGCTGGCTATACGCCAACTTGTTTCTATGACCCTGCACACTATTAAATATCAGGAGTGGCACATTCTACAATGAATGTCAAAGAGCTTTGCATTTCTTTCTGCTTTCCTCTTTCTCCCATTCAATAAGTATGGCATAATATTTATACAAATAGTTTTCAGAGTTTCCTGTATTCAAGGGTCTTTGACAGTCTATCACTGAAGATTATCAAAGTTTTCCCTATTCCTGTCACCCCAAACACAGACACAACATAAAGCTTAACTGGAGGCCAGAGTCTGCAAAATTTAGTATTTTTAGCAAAATAAACATGAATTTATGGATAGAAGTTAGGAAATTAGCAAAAAGGCTAAAATTCTGGTGCCCATACTGAGTCTTAGCATTGACCTTATTTCTAACAGGTTTAGTTTGAACTTCAAATTCTCTTTCATTTTCCTGGTATTGCACAATGACAGATAAAAACTAATAATCCATAGGGACTATGGAGATTAGATTGCACAAAAAGACTACACGGAAGTGGTTACACATCCGCCACATCATATCTCTTGTGTAACTCAGACAGATGTAATCTGGAGCCTCAGATAATTCTTCTGGAGACTGCCTACTGTTCTCTCCTGATTTCCATGATAAGGAAGAAAGTTTTTATTCCTAAAACGATTAGGGTCGTGTTCCTTTTTAGATTTGTAAAAACATTAAACAAAGAGAAATAGTTGCTCTTCTGCTTTCTGCAGTCATTAATTATGCATGCTGACTTAAAAGTTTTTGGCAAGCACAGATATAGGAAATTCAAGGTCAAAGACAGTACACTATCATAAACAGGAATTCATGCTTATAGACTATGTCCACATGATCAAGCAAGCAGTTTAACTGGGCTAACCCTGCCTTTTGAAGAGCTGTACAGGGTTAGGAGATACTCTGAGAAATGGCTCTGGCTTTGTTTCAAGTGCTTCTATGAGTGAACTTGAAAATTCTCTTGATGGCTCTATGAATTCTACACTTGTGTTGTTCTTCTGGGGAGGGGGGTAGTAAAGGAGTTGTGGAAATAAAGGAGGGACCTTGATATAATGCTGTAAATAAATAGAGCTTAGGTATCTGTCCATAACTTGGCATTCCAGGCCAATATACTGGAGTTGTTTGGAAAAAACATAGTGGATACCTGTAAGCAGGAGGGGGAAATACCATTTGATGAATATATAGGGAGAAGACTGTTTTCCTTGAAGGTTATAATGTTGTTCCACTCATCCCCTGGGTCCCAACCTTTCATTCCTAATCCAAATTGACTGACAGAAATGTGACCATAATTGTATGAATATATTCACAAAACCTCTTTGATATTTTAGCTGCCTTTCCTTGGTCTCTGTCTGTCTTGATGAGCAATGATCATAAGTATACTTAATTTTATCAATATCTCTTACAAAGGATAATTAGACTTGAGTAAAACATAGGCCTCAGCCAGAAACAGGAAAACCCTAAGACTCCTGCAGTTCTACAATACCAATGTATTAAAGACAGTAAATAAAATGATCTATGGAGGCAGTAAGAAAATAGGTCAGGTCAACAAGAAAAAAAAGAAATGTAAAATGCCTTAAAATTGTATACATTCAAACACATATTGTCGTCCCCCTCCCCCCCATTAAGTTTGGCATGTGATAGGAGTCAATATGGCATTTGCTACAAAAGTAGGCTTACAAGGACAGTCAGCACTCAGGAAAGTAAATATCCCAAACCCACCACTATCATTACCTCTAAAACACACACACACAGAAACTTAGATTTTATCTTTTTAAAAATTCTCCAGTAAAATAATGGCTACTGTTTGCCCTTCTGACTTTTTATCTTTGTTGATAATAATTGCAATGGACCATCCACAACAAATTCTCACCTGCCTTTCTTTATAGAAAGGTGGGCTGAGAAAGATGTTAAAAGAGCTGGCCAAGAATTAATTTAGTGATTATCTGCAGATTTCGGTAATCATTATCATAATATTATCTCTTTCTTTACCATATACCAAAGTGAGTTCTATTACTTCAGATAATCTGTACAGGATTCCCTGAAAGCACTTTTCATGTAGAAAAACCAAACTATGCCACACTTAAGTGACAGCAGAATTTATGTGGCTGAATTACTCATACATCTGACTAATGGGCTGCATCTAAAGTAACCAACTGTCAGACACATAAAAGGGAAAACTACTTTAATAATTACACTTAACACTTAATGCGCCTTCATTTATGAGTGGCCAATGATCCAGGCAAACAAGAAATGCTGCATGGATTGACAAGTTTTTAAAAGAATAAAACTGAAGCTAGGAATTAGTAGGAATAGCTCCTTTACTCAGAAGGTACCCTGAGAATCTTATTCTACCTGTATCTATGGAAAGATAGGAAGAAAACCTGTGATTTGATTCTAATCAGAAAAAAGACAAAGAAACACTTTATTTCCAGATACCGGTTCAAGGTCATCCCCTTCTATCATAAATTTAATCTTTCTACATCACTCCACCTTATTAAACTGCTCAAACTAAGCAAAGAAAATGAGAAACCTGTTAGGGCAAGACAGATTCTGGGGGAACTGATTACATGATAAATTATACAGCCATTGAGGGCTATCATTTTCAAGAGATGGCCAGGCATGGTGGCTCACGCCCATAATCCAGTGCTTTGGGAGGACAAGTCAGGAGGATTGCTTGAGGCCAGAAGTTCAAGACTAGCCTGGGCAACACAGGGAGACACCATCTCTACAAAAAAATTTAAAAATTAGCTGGTCATGATGGCATGTGCCTATAGTCCCACCTACTTCGGAAGCTGAGGTGGGATTTGAGGCTGCAGTGAGCTATGATTGGGCCACTGCACTCCAGCCTGGATGACAAAGCAAGACTGTTTCAAAAAATAAAATACAGATTGTCCAATCCCCACATCACCTATGTCTTCTGAGCAAACATGAATGGACCATGCAATTACCATATAAGCAACAAAATATAAAGCAAAAAGAACTAGTTTAAATGTAAGAGAGACACAGGTAATAAATTCTATGTTGGGCAAGTTATTTTATATTTTAGAGCTTCATTTCTTTAACTGTAAAACCACTGAATTATATCATTAACAAAGCTCCACCCAGAGTTAAAACTTAATTCCAGGCTGGGCGTGGTGGCTCACGCCTGTAATCCTAGCACTCTGGGAGGCGGAGGCGGGCGGATTGCTCAAGGTCAGGAGTTCAAAACCAGCCTAAGCAAGAGCGAGACCCATCTCTACTATAAATAGAAAAGAGATTAATTGGCCAACTAATATATATATAGAAAAAATTAGCCGGGCATGGTGGCGCATGCCTGTAGTCCCAGCTACTTAGGAGGCTGAGGCAGGAAGATCGCTTGAGCCCAGGAGTTTGAGGTTGCTGTGAGCTAGGCTAATGCCACAGCACTCACTCTAGCCTGGACAACAAGGTGAGATTCTGTCTCAAAAAAAAACAACAACAACAAAAAACCCCTTAATTCTACTTTTTTTTCAGTTCAGTTTCTAATACTCTTTTTTTTAAAATCATAGCTCACTATAACCTCAAACTCCTGGGCTCAAATGATATTCCCACCTCAGCCTTCCAAGTAGCTGGGACACTAGGTGTATGCCACCATGCCAGACTAATTATGTTGCCCAGGCTGGTCTTGATCTCCTGGCCACCAGTAATCCTCCTGTCTCAACTTCCTCAAGCACTGGGATTACAGGTGTGAGCTACTGTGCCTGGCCTCTAATATTGTAAGCTCCATGAGGACCCTGGCTTATTTATATTTGGATCTCCTGCAATTTCTAATACTCTGCACACAATAGATCCTTTCTAGATCCTTTTGACTGCAGCCTTTTGACTGAATTCAATTTTACAGAACAAATCTTTTTATTAAAAGTGATGCAGCAGAGAAAGATGAAACTTTTCTTGCCTCCTATGGTGCTTAAAAAAAGAACTACCTTGAAATCAGAAGTCTGCAGATTCCCACCCCTAAGTCTTAGATGTAAGACAGGCTAATTCCTTAATCTTTTAAAGATACATTGGACAAAACTCAACTTCCTCTCTATCACCTTAATGAGTCTAAAATAATATAATATTGGATAGGTATGCTTAGAAATTATTCAATAACTTTATCATAAGAAGTAGCAAAATGTAATTGATACAGAAGTAATACAGGCAAGTTGAACTTTTTTTTCTTTTGAGACAGAGTCTCACTGTGCTGCCCAGGCTAGAGTGCCCTGGCATCAGCCTAGCTCACAGCAACCTCAAACTTCTGGGCTCCAGCAACCCTTCTATCTCAGCCTTCTGAGTAGCTAGGACTATAGGCATAAGCCACCATGCCTGGCTAATTTTTTCTCTATATATTTTTAGTTGGCCAATTAATTTTTTTCTATTTTTAGTAGAGAAGGGGTTTCACTCTTGCTCAGGCTGGTTTTGAACTCCTGATCTTGAGTGATCTTCCCGCCTCGGCCTCCCAGAGAGTTAGGATTATAGGCGTGAGCCACCGCGCCCGGCCAAGTTGAACTTTTTTTAAGAGTTGGAAGGGTATTATGTTCATCTTGTTCCACTTACTCATTTTACAGAAGCTTAGAGTAAAAAACCACAAAGCTCTTTGGAGAATATGAACATTTACATTTTTTTGACCAAATTTACCTTTATAGATGCTTTTGTAAAATACTTGATTTGTGACCCATGTGAGGAGAGAGACTGACTATAAACAAAACTCACATCCATTTCTAAAAGTAGAAGAGAAGACAGTATA